AAATCAAATGAAAGTAAGAGTAAAATAGAGTGGGTTAACCGAAGTCAACCACCTCCTTCTTCCCAAAAAGGAAGTAGTATCTAGCACAGAAGAAGCGTGTAGAATGCGAGAATTCTATCAGAGGGATCTCATAACCTATTAAGAGAGCAGAGGGATCGAAAGAACCGATTTATTAATCTCTGGGGAGAGAGAAAGAAGAGAGGAGAGAAGGACTATGGAAGTAGGATCTTATCTACAATCGGGGGTTATGGCAAACATCCCTCACAACAGTATCGAGATACTTAAGAAAAGGCAGAAATACGTATTGAGCAAACAGAAGACGACTTCAGAAGGAGGCTAGGCGAGAGTTCAGGAAAGAGCTGTAACATTCAAATATGAGGATACTAGTATGATTCAATGGTTACGGCTTGTCTGAAGATAGGACTTGTGACCAGTTCATCATTAGCCTAGTCCCATAAGAGCTTGCGTACCATGGTAATACATACTCAGGTTGGCTGCGGACTCCTGGAGTCCCGAGGTCAGCTATTCCAACGTCGGGCCTATGTTTAGAAGCCTGTCATGGGCCAAGAGAGTGATGTGAGTTGGACTTCAGGATGATGGGTGAGAAGGTGAGAAGGTGAGGGCGCAGGTAGCTACCTCTCGATTTCAAAACCGACATAGGTTCCTATACCCGTGACCTACAAGATCACTTTGCCGCCATGTGTATCTTTTTCTAAAGTTAAAATGATCAATGATACTTTGAAACATAGCCAACCCTAGGGTCTACTTTGCTAATGTAGGCTTTTGAATATATGTTAGATTCAAGACACTGAAGTTCAACGGAAATAGGAAAAGAAACCAACCACTGTTAACCATTTCAATCACTTGAATTATATTTCCGTCATCATCGAATCACTGAAGAAAATTTCAAGTCTATAGCAACCAAGCTAAAGATTGCCGTAACTACCACTACGGATATTACTCAAGTAAGTAATATATTGCGATTGTGATCGGGGGTGGAATTAATCATCGGATTGACGGATACTGGTATATGCTGGCAGTAAGGTATTGCATTGAGATGCATTGATGTGTGTTCTATCTGGATCTTGCTGTTGAAGCTTTGTTAGATGACAAGGGGTCATTCCTAGCGTGTTACAACGCTGGTATCCAGAGTATTCCCATTTACCACACAAAGACAAAGAGAAAATGGACAATTGATGAATAACCATGTCCTTAGTGGTAAAATACCACCCCTCAGTTTGAAATTAATTCCCAAACTTCTGGATCAGATAAAAGTGCCGGCGTACTGGGAGACATCTCATACCACATGGTTAATCTGTGCCCTCTCAGGAACGACGCAACTACTCATACTCGTACAGCGATCCGAGAGTGCTTAGCTCTTTTGTAGGGTGGATCGTCTAAGCTCTGCACTCCTAATGGATGAATTATCCATATTTAGGAGGGGCTGTGGCTCCCTAAGGGCCGTCGGCCCCCAAATCGCCCCGAATCGCCCCACCTACTTGGGGTCCAAAACCGCCAGATTTGATCTCTAAGTCGGATCTCGGACGACGATGCACACGCGGTCGACGCCCAAGTGGGGCTCTTGAATACGAGTAAATTGCACGGAGATTGGTGTTCGTTTATAGGGTTACATAGCTACTCCGATGGGCCCAAGGACTGCACACAATAAATTTTAGTTGTTTCGGACCTTGCACCTCAATGGGATTTGGAGCAGCCTAGTCGCGTTCTCTTAGAACGTTGGAAGATACGCAGGGGGTGACCCACCTCGGCAATTCTGGGTTCCTTTCTTCTTTTTTTCGTTCCTATATTTGATTTCCCGGAGACTGCGAGAATCTCTTGGATCAAACCCTGGGAAAATGTTCTCTCTCAGGTCAATCACTGCCATTGCTGCTTTGGCTTCCACCGTGGTGGGTGGTGCAGTGCAGGGAAAATGCCCTAGCAATGATGTTGACATGAAGGACTTTGCGAAAAGCCTCTCCCGCACTGCCGAGGTCTATTACCCTGGTTCAAGTGGCTTTGAAAATGTCACCACCCGCTGGTCTGTTCTCGAGGAACCTAAGGTGAATGTGGTTGTCGTCCCTGGGACAGAGAATGACGTCGCCGAGACTGTAAGACTTCCCATCAAACCATTGTCGAATGCCTTTCTCCATTAGGTAATTATTTGGACAAAATGGCCATACACTAACTTTGATCTAATCGAAGGTCAAATATGCTAACAAGAAGAACGTCCCGTTTCTCGCCTATAATGGAGTCCACGGGGCCCTTGTTTCCTTGGGCAAAATGAATCACGGAATTGGCATCTCTCTAAGCAAGTTGCGCAGTGTCAAAGTAAATGAGGATGGCAAGACGGCCACAATTGGCGGTGGAGTCATGTCCAAGCAGATCACCGATGACTTGTGGGCAGCTGGAAAGCAGACCGTTACTGGAACCTGCGAGTGTGTCAGCTATCTGGGGCCTGCACTCGGCGGTGGACATGGGTGGCTCCAGGGCCATCACGGACTTGTCGCTGATCAGTTTGTCTCGATGAATGTTGTACTTGCTGATGGCACTTTGACAACCATCGATGCTGACTCTGAGCTGTGGTGGGCAATGAAGGGCGCAGGCCACAATTTTGGAATTGTTACTTCAGTCACCTCTAAGATCTACGATATCGAGCATACTGAATGGGCCATTGAAACCCTCACATTCAGTGGTCACAAGGTCGAGGCTGTTTACCAAGCTGCCAATGACTACCTCGTCAAAAACGGCACTCAACCTGCCGGCGTCATCAACTGGTCCTACTGGATGAACGACGGCTCTGACCCCAACAGCCCTGTCATCGTCTTCTATATCATCCAGGAAGGAGTCAAGGCTGTCGAGTCCACTTATACCAAGGCCTTCCACGATATCGGGCCTATCTCTGTCAACCCCCAATCAGGCACATATAAAGACCTCGCCAACTGGACCAGCATCGCCGTCGACTCCCCTCCCTGTCAGAACCTCGGCTTCGCTAACCCTCGCTTTCCGATCTATCTGGAACAATACAACGTCCCCGCTCAGAAGAAGGTCTGGGATATCTACGCTCCCGCCGTGAGCGGCTCTTCCCCTTTCAACAACTCCATCTTCATGTTCGAGGGCTACTCAGCCGAGGGCGTCCACGCCATCCCCGCTGATTCCACTGCCTTTGCTTTCCGCTCGGAAAACCTCCTTGCTGCCCCAATGATCAACTACGCCCCTGCCGGTGAGGCCCTGGAGCGCAAGGCTGCCGATCTTGGCAACCAGCTTCGCAACATCCTCTCCGCGGCGACTGGTCGTGATGACTTCCGCGCCTACATCAATTATGCCTACGGCTCAGAGACATCGCAGCAGATCTACGGTAGCGAAAACTGGCGTCAAGAGCGCCTGAGTGGACTCAAGCACAAGTATGACCCCCGTGGCAAGTTGAGCTTTTATGCCCCTATCGAGTGATCGCATAGGAGTGGGGTTTTGATAGAAATCGGCATGTGTAATGCTGTGACTTTCAGACAGTACCCATGGATACACATCAGAACGCATGCCCAGGCTTCCATTTCTTGGAGCCAGTTGATATGATCGCAAGCACATCTTAATGTAAATACAATGTATATAAACGATTCACTCAACTTATCACCCTGTCTATAGCGCACCCTTGTCATCCCGACCACAAGGTTGGCTTAAACTTTAGAAGTGACAGGCACCTCGCTATAGTGTGGACAGCACATTCAATCTTTACCGTTATACAATTGATGATTCCTATAGATTTCTTTTCAATGCTACACCGAGCACATACGACCACAGGGTGTGGAGAACAGGGCTTCCCGTCCGCTCAGCCGTACTTAAGCCACACGCCGGTGAGTTAGTAGTTGGGTGGGTGACCACCAGCGAATCCTCACTGTTGTATGTTTTGTTTTTGTTTTGGTCTCTTTAAATGTTCAAGTTGTCAAGGGAAAGTATTTCTTTGGGGGGCGCTCTGTGTTACATGTAGGACATGTGCCGTAGCTCGCATCACTGATACGCTCCCCGAGAAGCCTAAACAACAGGCGAGCTAACCTGAGCACGGGCTGCACCCGGGCCTAAATTGCTATCAATTATTCGACCAACCCCAAGGCTCTGTGATGTTCTTTCTCTGCCGTTGCTGTTCTTTGATCTTGTTGTTTTCGTTCCTCGCGTATTCTCTTTTCCTCTTTGGCACCCTATTTTCGGAGTCTCTGCAGCTCGGTATTGGGACTAGCCCTGCTCATCACACAAAAGATCATGCATCCAAAACGTACTCATCTCAATCCTTCCTTACCAATCACCCATTACAACATGATCCAAAGCCGACTTTGCATACTGTCTAGACGAAGGTGAACACAGCGGTTTTGTTACAGGTATAGGATGGACGAGAATTTTACCAGCGCGAGACGTTAGACTCCTGTCTTATTGCTTCCATTATCATTAAGTACTAGGATCCTTGGCTCTTTAATTTTTTTATTAGTTATTTTGAGTTCAATCGTACAATTGATGGTGTAAAATAAAATATTTATATGTAATAAAAATTTCATCACCTTTCAGTAATCACATCCTCGGTAGTAGATTCTGATTCTATGATAAATCGAAGATCATCGTAGGAAGGCCTTTTCTCACTTGAGACCCGCTTAGAAAGTAAATAAAAACCGCCTATGACTTCAGGAGATAGTCGAGGCCAAAATTTGTTAAAGTCTTGCGATGAGGAAGAATTGAAGAGTATGGCAGACCAGGTAGGGTGAATAGTAGGAGTATGCTGTGCAGAAGATTGCCAACGTTGGTAATAGTCCTCAATTGACTAAATGGCATTCAAATCACTCTGTCACAAATTGGCAGCTGCTGTGTACGGAGTTCGTCCTAACCCTCGTTTGTAGATAGATCTGCTCCCCGCTTCTCCCTTCTTCTTCTTCTTCTCTCTCTTCTCTCTCTCTCTCTCTCTCTCCTCTCCAGAGAGTCAATACAATCGGTTCTGTCCGCATCCTCTCTCGCCCCTTAGGTCACGATTCCTCAGACAGAATTTGCATAATTTTATGCCCGTGTTCAGGGTTCGCTGCAGCCGCCTGAACTACTTGATCAGAGACGGTGAGCTTCTTCCCACGGTTCTTAAAGAGAACTTGTATGATTTCTGGCCCATATGAAGGGTTTGCAGCAGCCGCCTGGACTGTCTCATCTGAGATAGCGAGCTTCTCTCCACGGTTCTCCAGGAGAATGTTCATAATATCTCTAGAATAGCGTCCAGTGTTTGCTGCAGCTGTCTGGAATGTTTCATCAGTGATAGGAAGCTTCTCTCCATATCCCTGAAAGAGAAGCATCATGATTGCCGGCCCACAATATCCAGTGTTTGCTGCAGCTGCCTGGACCATCACATCAGAGACGTGATAGTTGTCCCCAAAGTGTCGAAAGAGAAATACTAAAATAAAGAGCCCGTTTCGTCCCTCGTCTCCTGCAGCTGCGATAGCGATCTTTCCGAGTGGGACACATTCTGGACATCCAAGAGTCATAAGGTTCTTGATAGCATCTATGGCATAGGCTCTATCTCGTCGGGCATTCGAATAAATGTCTAACATGGCGAATTCTATATGGCGCCACCGGGATTGAGTCTCTATCCGCGATTCATGATAATTGGAGGATGACACCTTTTCCGCCAGTTTTGCTGGCCTCGTTGAAGTTGTTTCCTGAATATGTGGCAACTCCCACGTGAAGACAACGTCATCTGAAGGATATTGGCGATTGTGCTCGACTGTTTTCTCGAAAGGTTTGGCCTGAGCGTCTTTTCGTGGCATCGCGGGCAGAATCACCGTAAAATGGTCATCGCAAAGTCTCACGACGGTCGGGTTTGATGCTCCTTGCAGGATCCAGATCAAATCGCCATCCTGGATTGAATCTGTGAACCCCATGAGAATACAGTCTTCCTTCGACAGGTAATCGGAACCCAAAGCATAACCGGTATTACTAAGAACGACTTTGAAGCTCTGACGACCATATACATAATGCTCCTTTGAAACATCGTAAATGCATCCAAGTGTCCATGCTTTGGATTTGATTATCGCATAATCGACCCCTTTCCACATTTGTACAGACGCTGTGGAAAAGATGTGCTGCGTCACCGTCTTCAAAAGGTCATACTAATCGACTTCATAATCAACCTGAATTTGACTGGCTTCTTCTTCACTGGCCAATCCTAGCAGAGCGTATATTTTATTGTGTTTCTGCGTAGCTTTATTTTTGCAATACAGGCCAATCAACTCAGCTAGTGAGAGGCCTCCTGAGCGCATTGTATTCCTCTGTCGAAACGGTGCGCCCTTCATCAAATGAGCGACCGCCCCAGCCATGGTCTGGCAATCGGGGGGAAATCTCATTCTAAGAAGGCCTTGACAAAATGAGTGTCCGCTGATCTGACTTGGACCACAGATTATCGAAATAGATCGTGCAACACCAACTTCCTGAAGGACCTATTTCGGACAATGAGTGATTTGATGGGATGATCTCTAGATTTCACTTACCCACACCCGTCGAAACCACTCTCGATCAAGTAGTTTCGAGCACAAAGAAATATCCTCCTCGGACCAGTAATCTGCCAAGGAGTGATCATCTTCGCCGAAGTGACGGATACTTTCAAGCGCCTTGTCTCCACAGTCTTGACTTCCGCCAAGCCACACAATGACCTGGCTAGCCTGCGCATATATTGGACCCATCAATGGAATCTGCTTGTTCTTTTCGGCTATATCTTCTTGGTTGATGCAAATTGCATCAATCCACAAAGCTCTCTTGAGTTGAGGGTCTCGAAGGTGTTTGAGCGCCATGTTGAGATTCTTCGTGACAGAGAGAGCCTTGCCACCCAGGCTGACCGAGTGGGGTCTTTCCTCAGTTTCCCAACAGTATGAAAGTGCCTCATAGTTCTGGGATCGATTTCCCCCCTTGGCCAGATCATATTCGACAAGTTCGCACTCGACTGGAGCTTCTCTGTCATCGTGTGGTAAGAGCAGGATCATACGAGTCATAGTGGGTTTGTGGCTTAGCCCTTCGTAATTAAAGCTAGGCATCATCGCGGGGAAAATAGACTCGATGTCTTGAAGATCTCGGTGTGATTCCCAGGATCAAAATCGAATTTAGCGGGGGCTTGTGGCGCAGGGGAGCGGGGTTCAGCTGGGTTCAGCTAAGTCTCGCTAGCATGCGAAAGATGCGAAACGCCCTCTGTTAGGGCCACGTCTTGAATCAGGTGATTTGCAGGGGTGGAAGCAGAATGTGATCACAAGATAACCATCCATTATGCACTCAAAGCTGCTTCCAAAATCCCATTAAGTCCTGAAGTCCCGCTCAACACGCCAGGTGCCTCCAGGTGCGCCGGTGTTGTATTGCTTTCTTTCATTAGCCGCAGGCATCGGTGATCCGGGCCCTGGACGTCGGAATTGCGAGCTGATTGCCTCTCAGGGTCAAAGGTATTAATGATACATAGTTTTTGGACCCGTGGACCCCTTTATCGACCAGACATTAGCGAGGGCGTATATTCTAATTGAATCTTTTTCGCATAGTCTCTCCGTTTCTAAAGTTATACGTCGCACACGAATCCCTGCTCAAGTGTCGTTATCGACATCAAAGCTTCCACCTATTCCCGGTTGTGGGAAAGTCGAGCACACCTAAAATTGTGATACTGGTTGTCCCAGGGTGTGCTAGTAAATTCGAAAAGAATCCGGCTATAGTTCATTTTGTTAGAACTTACTAGTACATACGACCACAGGGTGTGGAGAACAGGGCTTCCCGTCCGCTCAGCCGTACTTAAGCCACACGCCGGTGAGTTAGTAGTTGGGTGGGTGACCACCAGCGAATCCTCACTGTTGTATGTTTTTTCGTTTTTTGCCCCAACTCCAGTCTGGATTCAACTGTCAAGTTATTTTGGAAATGATTTTTGTTGCAAGAAGTTGATGTTTAACATTTGAATTGTGCAATAATAAACTAGTACTCTGATCCAAATCTGTTCCAAATATGCGCGCACCTCCTTTTCGATCACAACGAATCAAAACGAGCAGCAATAGCTTCGAGACTCGGACCTTTTGTTTCAACTAGTAAGAAGTAGACGCCGCCAACCTCAATTGTCAACCATGCAACATAAACAAGGTAGTACTTCCATCCGATAGCTGCCAACCCTATAGGGTTGACTAGAGTGTTGACAAAATTAGCCCCTTTTCCGCAAAACATAAGCACAGCGAATCCCTTTGCTCGCACGGGATACGGCAATACTTCTACGGGATATGAATACAGCAGAGCATTGTATGCCAAGTTGAAAAACAGATAAAACAAAAACAACATAGCAACCACTGCTGTTCCTGCAGCCTGGTTTTGATCCTCGTTGAAAAGCCCGGAGCACAGCGTTTGGCTCGCGAAGACGGCCAGCATACCTACTGTCGAAATTAAAAATTGAGTTCGGCGACGAAGGTAGGCTGTCAGGAAGGCGGCTCCAACTGCACAGAGCCAGCTCCAGATCATGAGACCACCGTTGATGATGTTTTTCTCTTTGTAGCCGGAAACTCCCACGGTATCTAGCACGCGTGCGAGATAATATCTAGAAGGTATTAGTGATCGAAAATAAAGAATAGAAGGAAATGGAAAGCGGCCAATGAACCACTGAGATGGAACACTCACGAGACTAGACCATTGCCCGACCATTGCGAGAAAACTCCAAGCATCACCATCAGTAACAAGCGACGGCGATTACCTCGGTTGGAGATCATTGACCGCCAGGTCGTCTCGTTAGAAAGTAGATCTGCTTCAATAACCTGTTTCATCTCGACATACTCCAGCTCTACTAGTGGATCGGTTTCATCGCCCTCGGCATGGTATTTCGTTAAAATGGCCCTGGCTTCATCTCCTCGCCCATGTGCAATCAGCCAACGAGGGGACTCGGGAACGAACATCACCCCGACCATTTGTACGAGAGCCGGTGAAGCTTGAAGAAGAGACGGGATACGCCAAGCCCATTCATTGGGGATCGCGAAAGTACCGAAGGTCACCCAGGCCGCAATGGTTGCGCCAAGGCACCATGTCGTTTGGTACAGAGATGTAGTAACCTGTCTCTCTTTAGGATGCGAGAGCTCTCCAATCAAGATTGGTGCACAGCTGTTCGCAAATACCAAGCCAAATCCGATAATGAACCGGGAAGCAAGGAACATTCCGACTGTCAAAGCCCAAGCAGTCAGTGGAACGTTCTTGAAGGGAGGGATAGTGGATACTCACTGTGAATTGATGCTCCTTGAATGATTCCTCCTACTACCATGATGCCCGAGCCGAGAAGAAGGCCTTTCCGGCGACCGAATTTGTCTCCGACCACACTGATAAAGGGTGTTCCGCAGATGGCACCCAAGGAAAGAATAGCCGTGAGCAGACCGAGGAGTGAGCCGTTTGGGTCACCAAAGTCTAGAAAAAAGACACATTGTTAGTGCACTGTAACGATAGATAATGCAGAAGACACACAGTCAACCCATGTCTCAATAGCCTGCAAGCCATTCATCATAGCAGCATCGAATCCCAGGGTGACGGCAGGGAGGAGACAACCAGGTATCATGAGCAAGTACAGAATCGTCAAGTTGCGCTTGCGATAGAAGGGCAAGGAGCTCTGAACCAGAGCCTGGAGTCTCTCATCGATGTCGGTGATATGTCGAGATTCGTTCACATTCTCAACGGTTTCAAATTCTCCGTGCTTCTTCTCCAGGTCGTTGTCGGTCATGATGAAGAGATGTAGCATGAGATGTTTTACTTTTCGGAAGAGTTCATTGTCCTATTTAACGACTCCGGGGGGTATGGCCCCGGCGTAAAGCCTCGCTAGAAAAGAGATCGATCTTTGACTGTGGAGTAAAAGATGGGGAAAGGCCCGGCGTGGGGAACGGAACCTTGAAATATTCGGAATTCTAGCCAATCGGAATCCTTGCAGTCCGGAAATACAGCCAATTGGGGCTGTTACAGCCCGAGAGAGCCTTCGGCGTTCAGCCAATCAATGGCTATCCGCCCCGAGTTAAGATCTGCGGCATCACGATGGGGTTCAAAGCAAATCCCGATGGAAGACGTGGGATTTCGGAGGGTGCAGTGCGGGGGTCTGCTTCGGCAGATATAAAAGGCAGTTCCAAGGGATGACTGCGATCATCCAACAAAAGCAATCATCAAACTGCCAACCACGCGATGTCAGAGATGGGCTTCACCAACGAGATACTGGAGAAACTAACCAGCGAAGAGAAAGTATCGTTGCTCAGTGCAACTGACTGGTGGCGAACCCCTGTCATTGATCGCGAGGAGGTTTTCGTGCCGCACATAAAGGTTCGTCAGTGCCCTGATACTCACCACCAGTGCTGAACATGCTATAGGCCACGGATGGACCAAATGGAGCGCGTGGAGAGAGTTACGTGAGTGGAATCAAGGCTGCATGTTTTCCCTGTGGCACCAGCCTTGGGGCGAGCTTTGACAAAAACCTGCTCTTCCGCACCGGCCAAGAGATTGCGAAGGAAGCGAAGACCAAGTCAGCGAATGTGTTACTGGCACCGACACTGAATGTTATTCGGTCGCCGCGGGGTAAGAGTTTAGATCGGCTCGTGTTGATACGAAATTCACATCTCTGCAGGGGGCCGCAATTACGAAACATACTCTGAGGATCCGTTTGTACTTGGAACACTGGCAGCTTCGTTTGTCAATGGTATGCTGCCCCCAAATTGGATAAGACTAAGTACTAAGTGAGTGCTTTAGGTTGTCAATCCGAAGGTATCGCGGCGACCCCGAAACACTTTGTCGCCAATGAAACGGAAAACCACCGAAAGATTCTCACAGCTGAAGTGGACGAGCAAACCTTGCGGGAGATTTACCTCGCACCCTTTCAGCTCGTTCTGAAGAACTCCAGTCCATGGTGCTTCATGACTAGGTGAGGCACTGCCCTATGTGTAGGCGCATTCTCTGTCCGGAGACTTGCTAACGAATCAAATTCATCAGTTATAATCGAGTGAATGGAACATACGTTGCCGACGATGCGAGATTGGTACGAGATATTTTGAGAGGGGAATGGGGATTCAAAGGACTCGTTGTTTCGGACTGGATGGGTGTATATTCGACTGCCCCTTGTCTCAACGCCGGGGTCGACTTGGAGATGCCTGGCCCAACCAAGTTCCGCGGTGGAAAGTTGTTGAAGGCGATTCAAAACAACGAAGTATCCGAAGAAGCGGTCGACGACTGCGCGAGGAGAGTTCTGGAGCTGGCTGCCAAGCTTGGTCGGTTCGAACAGCCAGTAGAGCCACCCGAGAGAGCCCTTGAAGACGAAAACCGAGACACATTCATTCGCGACGGAGGAGCAATGGGCATGGTATTACTGAAAAATGACGGCGATGTTCTTCCATTGCCAGAGGGAGCCACTGTTGCCGTCATAGGGTACCATGCCTTGACGCCGACTCTGGGAGGGGGAGGAAGCGCACGCGTGGACTCATTACACGCAATCAGCCCCGCTGAAGGAATCGAAGCAGCTGGATACAAAACAAAAGTCTGTCCCGGTGTTCCTGTGTATGGAGCGCTACCACATGCGGATGAATCCTCGATTTCCCAGTCTGGGACGGAGGTAAAAACGGGCGAGCCTGTTCTGTTAGAATGGTTTAATGGAACCGCTATTGGGGAGAACCCTGCCCACCAAGAATTCCGCACTTTGCCCGAGTATATGATCAAAGAGAAG